CCATTTTGTCACACTGTGCAAATTGGTAGGAACAGCTATTTCTCTAGTTCAAAACTGAGCAACAATGATTATCCACAAATTGTTTCAACCTGCTGCTAGCTATTGTTTTCATAATATACAGAGGGAAGGAGACAGCTTTTCTTAAAATCAACCTCTCACCAAAATCCTAGGGATGAAGGAGCATTCAGTATACTGGAACACTGGAATGGAACCTAAGAAAAATTAGAAACTGAGCAAAAAGTTGGATTTTGTTACTTCTAATGAGCAAGATAAGTCATTAGAAAGCACTTTTGATTAGAGAACAGACATAGTGAAAGTTGCATTGGGGTTTTAACTTCTTACCAATTTATTGATGATGATGCTCAGTGAGAAAAAAATACAAGTTCAAAAAGCAGCTCAGCTTGTTCAGCTTCAGATTTGTTAAAATTTGGTATTAAACATTACTGCTCTATACTACAAGATTTTCATAATCATACTTCAAAATAGTAATTTTAACTTTTGTGAAAAAATTTAATTATGTTCAGATTAATTTATAAAACTTTGCATAATTTAAAAAAGGAAAACATCAAAAGAATTCGGTCTCAATGAAAATCTGCTGAAAAGAAAGTCACAGCTGCATTAACCTCTCCATAGACTAGTAAATGCCTCAGTAACTCAATGAATAGTTTATAAAAATATATTCTTACATTTTACTGGGGAATAACAGAGGTAGACAAAAGGAAAACACCAGTTTGAGTGTAATGCCGCACTTCAGAACAACGTATTTTCATGGAAAAAACAGCTTTTATTTTCTTAAGAATCCTAGTTAATAGGAAAGCCAGGAAAGCATTTGGTCTCAGCCTTTGTTGGCGCTCTACTTCAGTGTGAAGTCTAGAGGAAAAAGTGAAAAGACTAACATCGTGTTTGACTTTTGAAGCAAGCCAATCAAGTTTGTACATCAATTGGAGAGAGGAAGGTTACTGCACATATAATGATTCTTTATTTTTCAAAGCCTTTTTTCAAACACTAACACTAACCTTATTTTTATATCTGATACCATGATAAGGCTTCATAGAACTGTACAATATTTATACATTTGTCAATAGTTTCCCTATATCAGTTGCAATTCCACTGTAAACCACGTGATTTAACTGTGTAGAGTGTTATATGACTAGGCTTTCTTAAAAAAAGTTAACAAAACACAATACTCTAACAGATCTAAAGCCTGGAGTCTAGAAGCTGGAAGAGAAAAAGAAGCACTGAAAGCAATACCCACCACGCTAAATTACACTCTTCATATGCCAAACCCTTCAGCTCTCAAAGGTCTGTGGTGCTTATTACCAATAAAAATAACTGAGGCAGAACCAACGCAACCCAGAGATACAATCTGAATATGCCACTACGTGCAGCTACACACCAGGCAGTATTTCAGATTCCCCGAACTGTTCAAACACCTCTCTGGCTGAAACGTACAATTTGCACACTTGTAAAGATGAGAAAATGCTCTGTCTTAGCTGGCAAGAGTTACAGTTCATCTTTATAATGCAACTCAAAACTGGAAATCTGTCATGCCAGCTTACAATGAGCCCCCAGACTTTTAAACCCTGAATTCAACAATTATCTCTGTTGTAAGACCAGATATTTTGTCACAAAAAGATATAAATTATAACCACGGTGGCAAGTGTTAACTTAGATGCTTTGGTTGGCGTAGCTACCCATACATATCAATTACATATTAAAAGAAAAAAAACCAAAACGAAGTTAGATTACCATACAGACTTTTGGAAAAAATATAGATGGTAATCTCAGAGCACAAAGTTTGAAAATACCCAATTTCAGAGTATTCTGGATGGAATATTCAGGATGGAAATGTAATTAGCATCATCGATGGTTTCTTGCAATCCAATATGCATTAAAAAAATTCAAAAGATCCTCCTTTCAAATGTGCACTAGTAATCATCCATATGAACAACATGTTATGAATTTAGCAACAATATTTTAATTGTTTAGTGCCTAAATCCCTAGTCTTCAATCCTTAGGTATCAAAATAATGGGATTATAATTAAGAATGCCTATGCCTAAAATGCCTCCCCCAAAGCTATTTTTGAAAGCCTGCCACTTATTAAGGTATCTAAAGTTAGAATGCCTTCCAAATCTTTGCTTTTGGAAACATTTCTAAGAGGGCTAGCATTTGTTTTTTTTCATATAAAAGAATATTATTTGAAAGCATATTTTCAAGTATTCTAACTTTTGCACAACAAACTGTAGTTCAAGTTGCCAAAAGCCTTTACATTTTATGAAATACGGGAGATCCTCCTCACTCTGAAGAGCACGTAAAGCTAAACTAAAATGTTGAAGAGAACTCACACTCATCATCTAACAAAGTTAAATAAAAACCTTTACTCTAATATTAAAGCAAAAACTAATCAAAGCCAACACATCAATCAAAAGCCTATTTTGCATACTACTGCATACAGACCATGAGAGTTTAAATCAGTCTTATTTCATTATGGCCTAGAACGTGTGTGCTCATGCCTTTCTAGTCTCCTTGACATAACTCCAGCCTCAACAGAAGATCTAAGCAGGGGAAGAAAAAAAAAAAATAATTTACTGAATGCTGTGATTTAATAATCTATCTTCACTCAGTTTGCCCTATGTTGGCTATGGCAACCTTGTTTGTTTTCCACTTAACCTTTCAGTTTGCAACTTGGTACTCCTCATTTGCTACTTAATGCATAGCAACATATCCAATGCGCTAACCCTATACGTATCACAGCATCTGTTCCATAAAATAATCCAAAGTACTCAGGGTAAGAATAACTTTTAAGGATGATACCAAGTTCCAAGGGGTACAGGAAAATTAACAGTAAAATCCACAAATCTTGTAATAGCTTTGCATTACTTAAGTTACATATAGTTACATGAACTTAAGGGTTGGAACATATTTCACGCTTACATAATGAAACACTGACAAGCATAGTTAGAAGAAGCCTGATGAGTTTTTTTTCTGCATTCTTGGCAACTTGAGTTACTTTACCTGAACAGCCAATTAATACAAACTTTTAGAATCTCATTAAATACTGCTTTTAATGAAAACTTCAAAGCACACAGTTGATGACATTCTAATATGTGTATATTCATATGAACATTGTCTGCAGTCACCCTGAAGAAAGGGATAAACTCAAACATCACCCTAAAAACCATGCTTTCATAAAGCATTAAAGATGTTATGTATCTGCTTCAACATCACTGCCTGCAAGGCTGCTGTCTGTAGATGGAGCACCATCTTCATTAATGCCCTCACCATTATTCTCCCTCTTATGGGCTTCATCATTTACATCCTTAGATGTGTCATTAACTTCTGAAGGTTGTCTGCCTTCAGGCAGTTTAACACTACTTGTTGCAGAATCCGAATCAGACGTCGGTTGCTGCTCCTTCGCATCAGGATCCTCTAAAAATGATCCCCACACCTTGAGCCTTTCTTCCCTTTCTCTTGCAGTCTCCTCCACCTATTGAAGATATGTTTACATCATTACAAAGTCATACTTGTAAAAATGAATATTTACACAGATAAAATTAAACAAACATTTATACTGCAGAACTCTCTCAAAACTTCAATAGGCCCTGTTGACTGTGAACTAATGATCTGTAATCGAGTGGCTAATCCTCAAAGCTGACTTCTCCAACACACAATTTTTAACATCAAACAGGTCCTTTAAATTTTTGCTAAATTGAATGCTTAAGGATGCTTTTTTTGAGACATCCTAGCAGTTTTTGACAGGAAGCAAGATGGGGCAGGGGTGGGCAGGGGAAGGGTATGGGAACACCAAGCACTTCTCAAATTCAAACAGATTTTCAGTTTGGAAGTAATATTTGATGAAGTAGGACCACGAAAGGCTACCTGATAATCTGTTACACCATCCCATGTTTCAGCACTGAGCTGACGGCCACCAAACCACCTTCCATTTAGAGTTAGCTTGCACAGATCAGCTTCTGTTGCTTCTTTAAATGACACAGAAGCCACGCCATCAGGGTGTCGCTGTAAGGAGAGACAACTTTCATTTAATAGTTTTCTAAATATGTATTTATTCCAAGATCTTTTAGACTGTCTTAAAAAATTCATCAGGATATAGCTCCATCCTGATCGTATATAATCGCGTTTGAAAAACTCAATTTGCAAGTTTACACATTTTGTTCTATTGGTACAGAGAACAGATTTTTTGAACACAGAAAACAAATGTTTCAGCTAGCTTAGCTAGAAATAAATGTATTTATAAACTTTCAAGCTCGTGACATGTATACAAGTTATTGTGAAGAGTTAGAGTTTGCCTTCACATAGGCTGACGAAGAGGTCAAGTTTCCATGAGATAAACACAGAGAACCAAATAAATGCTCCACTCATATTTAAAGAATCCTAAATGTTTTGCACATTTACACATTACATCAATTTTGCCAACAGAACCTGTAAAAAATACCTACATCAAATATGAGAACCTTCTTTACTTGACCAAACTTTTCACATTCTGTCCGCAGATCTTCTCTGATCTCATTTAGCACTAAGGGATCCTCCTGCAATGCAATTACACAGATCAGATTAAACAGAAGCATGCACTTCTCAGCTTTATTTTTGCTCAATCACCAATGGAATGCATCTGCCAATCTATTAAAAGTTCGTAAATTAAGTGTTGTTATGCTGCATTTTCAATGCCACTTGGGAGTTGGCAGACAGCCCTTATTTGAGTTTAATAAATGCTACTTTTATTAATAAAGGCTTTTGTGCTGGCTTCTTCATTCTAACAGTTAGTCTAGTCCTCTTTCCATCCCAAAAAGGAATGTTGTCAGGATACACACAGTGAAAAAGGCCGATCTGAAAAATATGTATCTTTGTCTTGGTTTTTGGAAACAGATTAATGAATTTTAAACAGATGCTTGGTACAGGAAAAACACCCTGCCCAAACAGTAAGTTTAATTTTGTTCTCATCTGCCTACAAGCTTGCTAAAATTCTTGTGGCAGAAACTTCAGACACTGTTAACTACAACAGCACAGTCTACAGTAGCAAACAACATCTTCCTACCTCAAAGTCCTTTGGGTGAAACATATTCCTGATAATAACGATGCGTTCATGTCGCATTCGAGTTGCGCCGTCTTTCTTCTCAGGCCTCCAATCCAGCTGTCTAATGAAATGAAGCAACAGTAAGAAGATATTGTTGCGGCTCTCTTCAGTTTCTACAAGTATTCGTTGAAAAAAAATCATTAATTTGGCATTTCTTGCAATACATCAACCAAAACATATATTTTAACACAGAGTGAAGTTACTCTTCTAAAAAATGCAATAGTTATCCAGTTTTACCACTTCCCCTACAAAGCAGTTGAGGTTTTAGGGTACTTAAATTACCAGAGGGACTAGAAATTATCTTAAGAATCAAAGCATTTTCTTAAACGCTGAAAAAATAATCTTGAAGTTTTAATTCCTTCCTACTATCAGCTCAGACACAGGAACCAGCTGCTGTCTAGTATAATAAAAATGGCAATATTTTACCATCTTTTTTACAAAACAAGTTAGGAAAAAGAGATTTACTATTCCCTTTGGTAAAATTTAACTGCTTTTATTTAAACAAACATGCAAGAGCACCTTGGGTCTTACACAGGCATTGCTGCAAGATGTATTTCGATCCACAGCGTACAGAGCCACTGCCACAAACTAGCAATATAACTCAAGGCATCTGTTCTATGACTTTGCCTTCTCATGAGAAACCTTACTTCTGGTAGAAATGCCTACTTCATATCCTATTACAAAAGAAAAGGACACATTCACTTACACTTCTAAATCTCAAAATCTGTATTTGGGGGGAAGGGGAAGAGGGGGGCAAAATCTTGTTTAAGTTCCTTCTTGTATCTGCTACTTCAACTGAGGAATACTCGGATTTCCAGTGAAGATAGTAGCAAGTAAATTATGTTCTTCAACTCGAAAGGAAGACCAACTGAAGTCAGTTTATTCACACAAATTGCTGTCAAATGCAAGTTGATTATTTTCATACTTCTCTCACCACACCAGAGACTTCTTATAGCAAGAACTGACAATGTATCTCAGGCTGCTCTTATTTTTAATTGGTAAGATGCCAAGTAAACTTTGTTCCCCTTAACTATGGCAAAATACTGTCGCAATACTATTTAAAATGTTTAGTGGAATGCTGCTTTCATTAAAATATTAGGAGTCCTATATACTTAAAACTTTTTTCTTCTTTTATCTGCATCTTCTTCGTTCCAAAAGGCAGAAAAACAATTTTTAAGTGACAAAAGCAATGAATCTAGGTACAATTAAAAAACCAGCATATCTTGTACCAGACAGAGAGGTCTGGAGGAATCTACAGAGATATTTTAGTATTTGCTCCTATGGAAGCTATCATCTCTTGCCCTTTGCAATGAGTAAATGAGTACAAACAATATCTGAACAGCCAGAGTGTTATTACCTTAAAAAAGCAAGCCTAGATACGGTGGCAGGACTTGCACACTCTCAACACTGAGAGAAAAAGTCTTTTATCTCCCCAGAGTTGTCATATTTTCTGCTATAACTGATAGGACCTTGGTTCCCTATGCATTATTTTAATGTGTCAATCACAAAGAAGTTCATTATGTCAACGTTTAATTTAGGAGTTCCTCCCCTCCAACTGTGTATTATTTAAGCTATTTTGCTGTCAGGTAAGACGTCAATTTTCACCTAACTCTTAGCATTGCATTTGAAAGAAAGCAGCACTTTATTAATAGCACTTAGAATGCAAGCAATATTTTACTGAAATAAAAAATACAAACTTCTGCTGTTGAGACAACTTCTTCTTGTAGTCTTTACACTTCTTCTTCTTTTTGCTTGCATCATACTCCCCCTTCAGTTGAAACTTTGCAACTTCAACGTGCAATTTATAGCCTCTAATTTCTGCCTCATCCAGAAGTCTCAACGCAAGTTGAACTGATTCTCTCTATTTGAAGATAAAAGAGAACACAAGCTTTAAAGCACATGGCACAGTCAAATTAATCCAATAACATTTAATTAAGAATATTTTGCTATGAATCAATTCCCTGACACTGAAAACCATAATGCCATATCTCTTCCAAGTCTCTTAACACATAGTTGTTAATGCTTTCTTTATCAAAACCCAGTACTACTTCTGTTACAGCAGATTAATGCTCCCAAGGGCAACTGTATACATTTCATTCAAATATGTCATAAAAACTTACCTGCAATGGTCAAGCAAGCTGATGTACTTAAAAGTGAGACTAAAAAAAAATTTCAGGGGGCTGATTTTCTCTAAAGCCTTGTAGCACTTTTCCAAGAACAGCAGACATTGAGGCTCTTAAGCAATTTTTTTAATGTTTTCCTAGAAGTTAGAGTGCAGACTATCTTTATACTTCTGCATTGAACAGCCCTAACTACTAAAATTACAAAACTTGCAAAGACTATAAGGCAGTTGATTTAGTACTGCCTGATGCTTCTTCCAGAATTAAAGCAGATTGCACTTGCAATCACTAACTTTGCAAATGATTCACAAGTGGAACACATGAAGGAAATAGTACTGCAGCCTGAACTTTTATAGGTCAATACAGAATGCAAGGACAGTTCTGAACCTAAGCCGTCCTTAACTGAAAGTTGTAAATACGGGACTAAAGCATGATCCTTCCTGTCTCATTATTTCTGTATTCTTGGCCACACAGTGGCATATTTTCAAAGTAAAAGGTGAAGAGTCCCCCATTTCACCCCATAACCACTGCACCCAGGGGGAGGGGGAGGGGGGACAAAAGGAAACAAATAAGGTGCACAAGTAGGTAAGCGGGCAGTTCTGGAATAAATCTTTAAAACAGACACCTAAATTTCAAGTTATACTTTAGATATTTCAATAATCTTCTGCATGTGATTCTGAAAAAGTAGCCACAAGTATCTTCAGCGGGAAGGAAAACTGCATTTCAGCGCACCACTGACCTTTAGATAGCAACAGAGGCCATCTCCTTTAAGATTTCCTTCCTTATCTTTGTAAAGTTTGATTTTGTGTTCTTCTGTCTGAGGATCTCGCATAATGATACCACATTTTGACATGACTTGTATAAATTCATCTTTTGTAATGTCTGGAGGTAAACCTGCAAAATAAATTAAAACAGAAGGCTTGAGTACGTTCAATTTTTTTTAAAACCTCATTAGAACAAACCCCCCAGTGTTTCTTTAAATGAGAGATTAAAAACTGAAGGATGAAATCTTACGTGCACAGTTAAGAAATCATTGCCCTCAGGACCAATATTTTTGCTATTACCTTTTAAACACTACTTCATACCAATATTTTGAAAATCCTCTTACTTTTGAATAGGTGTAACATACAGCAACGTCTTTGTGCTCCCTAATACGCAGGCCTAGAGTTTGAGTGCCATAAATGATACCAACATTGCAGGGGACACAATGGCCTATGTGAATGTAACTATCCTGCCCAAGTTTTAAGTTCAACTGCACCTCTACGGATTGGAGACAAAAAAAACCCCAACCTATAAACAGATAACTACTTTCTCCACCCAGAAATTCAACAAAAAAAGCAACTGATAATGTATGGAGTTTTCAAAGTCTGAACTTTGAACTGAAGAAAAAAATAGACAAAATGGAGGAGAAAATTCTGTGAATGTTCCATGCTAGTTTGGCCTGGATGAACATTTTTGAGAATTCAAGTGTGTGCATTTCTGTGACTACTCAGAACCACCAAATGTACCTATACATAGCACCCTGACATCCAAAACAGGTAGAGAAATACCAAAACAGGTAGAGAAATACCATAATAAATGCAGAGATAATTTCATTTGAGCATCCCTGTTACTTGCTCATTCTGTTTCCAGCTTTTTTCTTTTTGTACTTGCCATTTCCTCCTTCTCTAATAATTTAATTATGTATTTATAAAATCAAAGAAAAAGTAAAGATTAAAACATTAAGTGGTACGTATAGTCAATGCAATCTTATTATAACTTGCTCTCATTATCCTATTCCTTAGGAGTTTGCAAGATTGTTCTTCTTGGCTGTTGCTTACTTAAAAATAACTAGTGACTTGGCTGAGACAGCTCACAGAATATCACATTTAAAAGATAAAAGCATGGAATATGTCCCTTATATTACTTTCTCACATCTGCAATTTAAAGGTCACAAAGACATTATGCAGTCAGGAACATAACGTTAAGTAGCTCGCAAGTAGCAGACTGAATAGGTAATATTAGAAGTCCGTGAGACATATGAGAGTCTCTTTTACCATCTTTAGCTCAAAGTAGATAAATAAATGCTATTACTTACCAGTCACATAAACATTTGTGTTTCTGTCTTCTTCAACATGAAACCATCCTAAAAACAGAGTTTTAATTCAGTTATGCCAACATATTAAGCACAGGAGCACACACTAATGTTCAGTCAATCACACTTCTAAGAACTTTTGCTTGCCCACAGGACAAGCTCTGAACACGCCTTAATTTGCTTTTTTTCCACCACGTATATGGACTTAGGAGGATACCTATGAAGTACTGTACAATAACAAAATCATTCTGGAAATTTTCAGAACAACCTGTATCTTTGCTATACATGGCAACACCGAACATTTGCCAGTTTCCACTCCGTACTATACAGGTTGCAGCCTACACAGAGGGAAACCCTTCATCACTTACCTGGCTCAAGTTTCCGTTTTTCTGCTTTTTGTTTTGGATCTGTTTGTTGTGGTCCTTTCTCATTTGCTGATGGTTGTGTTCCTGATGTCTTAGAACTTACTGGCTGCTTACTTTCGGTTGCTGTGCCAGCAGATGAACTGTCTGTATCATCTGCATGGAAGCCATAGTTGGCATGATACGTTGCCAGGAAGTCTTCCGTTATCTGAAAAGAAATGAGGAAAATTAATCCAAAATTTCAAAGAACTACAGATTCAGGTTTGTAAGCGTTTTAATGTTAGTGCATTGATGATGGCCATTTTCTAATCCAGAAACATAGAAAATAACAGTATTTAAAAACTAGTTTTAAATCATCTTTGTAAAGCCACACACACAACAAAAACAATCAGTTCAGGCATTACCTGGACTAGACTGAGATACTAATTCCATAGAGCACATGAAGTTTTTAAACAAATTTTTCATGAGTTCTGCCTTTTTTCAAGCACAGCTTTCTGCTTTCAACATAAATTGGATTTGCCTGATGGACAGAAAGCAAGCGTTCCTGGCTGAGTTGAAGAGGTAAAGTGACACTGAAGGTAAGCCAGCAACTTATCCACAGACAATGAGTGACTGACATTTGTAGGCATCTGCCTTTTCATAGAAACATTGTCAGAGATGACATGTATCTGTGCTGATAGACAATACACATTGCACTTAGACAGAGACATATCTTAACACACTGTTCATAAGGCCAAATACTCTACTTGATATCCTACTCCCAGATTAACAATTAGCTCGCTCTTTTCTAGAGAGAGACTATATTTGGATAAAATACAGAATTGACTAATGTCTATCTTTTAGAGACCAAAACAAACAAAAAAAACTGCCTACAAATTACACCCAGTATTTCCAGCCAGGTAAATTTTAATACTAGCCACTAGCAAAAACATGCAGAGAGATAATACATCACAGCTGATTTTGCTAGCACCACTGCACTATAAAGTATTTTCTGAAGCTACACACTCTGAAATTCCTTATTCCCAAAGCTGAGCCTTAACCTTTGAAAATTTTATCTGACTCTGACCTGTGCTCCACTCGCTTCATCTGTATTCAAAAGGGAACAAAATTTATCGTCATTAAATTATTATAGAAGAGCAGCACAACGGATTGTAGTAAATGTCAACAACATGATCTCATCTCTTCCATAGCAATTTGAAGCTTGATGTTTCAACCATAAGCTTTTATTATGACAAATAAAAAATGCAGAATTGACAGCAACAGGCTTGTCATGAATAGCATGAGATGCCAGGGAGCCCCATATAACTGAAAAGTTTAGCATGAAATAGCTCCTACGCTAAACAAGATTCGCAACACACCTTGATCAGGAATGTAAGTGGCTGCTCTTACAGACATGACATAACACAATGTCAAGAGAAAGGAAGAAGCTTTAGCAAAGAAAAGAATACTCTGTGTTCTAATAAGGTTTGTTATATTTGACACTAGCAATCTTAGCAAATCCTTAGTTTCGCAGTTGATGAAATCCACAGAATTAAACTTCTAATCCTTCTGGGGAAAAATATTCATTTTCATCAGAAAACTTACTGATAAATTAGTGATTAAACCTGCAACAACTAGCCACCTGCCTGCAGCAGTATTATTTTTCAAATTCAGGTGGAACAACATTCTCATGTAAAGCTAAATTTATTCTTAGCAAATTACCTACCATGGACTGTCAAATATTGCCAGGCAATAACAAAGATTTTTTTTTTTCCATTATATGCTATCATCCTACCATATATATCATGACAACTACTTTTTTTAAAAAATGCATTTTTGCAAACATAAATGAATTTATACAAGTATAAAGGCTTTTACTGGAACTTGCATCATACCATGCCTGCATGGAAAACAAGTACTCACAGGATTTCTTACTTGGGGCTTCAACCCAGTTCTGGTGGAGCACATCACAGAAAGAGTTCTGCCTCTGTACCCACACGGTTGTACACTTTGGGGCAATTAAGCTTATAGGAAAAGAAATACAATACTACAGGACATGCTAGCATGTAATTAACTACTGGTCACACTGAAATGGAAAGGAATAGATTAACCAAATGAAGAACAGACACCCTACGCTTACAGGAGACATCCAACATCTGTTTTTTCATAGCAAGTGATAAAGGCAGGCAGATGAATTCAACATGTGATTTTGTGCTATGTCTGTGAAGGACTATAGAAAGTTGGTATCCACCAATATAGTATCACTGAAAGAAAAATTAGATAATACAAAGCTGCAATCACTTTTATCAAATACTTGACTGCCTCCAAATTTTTCTGAGGAATGTTGATGGTTAACACCATTAACTTTTTGTACTGCTTTGAAATATGCTTTAATACAAGTTCAGCAGATACTCTATTCCCAAAGTAGAGTAGCAGTGCAATACCAGTCTGTAGATATTTTAATCTTTTGTCGGAGAAAAGAGGTGAAGGATTTTATTACTGTTCATGGAGTAGAGGAAGAACCACAACTTCTGGCTCCTGCAGTCTCTTAAATGTATTTTGAAAAAACACTGTTGAATAATCATCAGCAATCTGAAGTAAACCGAGATACTATGGTATCTAGCTCGGTGACCTATCCACAACACATAGTGCTTCACAATGATTCTTTAACATCTTCTACTATACATCATATTTACTGATGAACTTCGCTGTTCCTACATAACCTGTCCTGCCCTTAATGTTATCTGCTCTCCAAGATGGCAATTTGAGATAAGAAAGGCATTTGGGAAAGACCTGAGAAGCTCCCGAGAAAAAGAGGTAAATAAATAAAAAATAATAAAAAAGATCCCTTTTAAAAGTTACTGTGGTTACTGGATACAGCACTCCACAGGGAGCCAGGGATACTCGGTTCTCCACCGATCCACTCTGTGAGTTTGCATTTTTCACATCTTTCTACCCCTCCGTATAAGCCGTCTGCTGCGCGGACACCTGACTAGTTTTACACACCTATAAACACTACAGGCTTCATGCTCACTAGATTCTCTGAATTGCAATGAATTCAGAGTCACAAATAAGAACTGGCACATTACATTTATCAAGTATATGCTATAAAATGTCTTAATGTTTGTAAATTAAGTAATCGCTCTCATTCATTCTTTTGTAGTAACAAAATTACTGTTTTGCTTGCAGATCAGTAGACTGGCTCCACACATTAAATCGAGGTTCCCTCTCACCTCAAAGAACCACGTTGTTACAGCAAGTTCAATATTTATACCTAAAATATTTAATAAAAAAAAACAAGATAAAAAACTAACATGTTTCCATTCTGTGGAATGCCTCTAAGCCAAATACATAATTACAAGACCTAAGGAGAGGGAACAAGACCTCTTTACGCATGCATGGTTTTCAGATGATAACGGAAAAGGGATATGCTACTCCATTTTCACCTAGGCCTCTTACAGACCAGTTCGCTTCTTCATGGCCAACATTAAGACAGAGATCACCACAGCTTCTGTGGTAAAAAAGACTAAACGTGTCGAAGGCAGTACCGATTCGTTAAGATCCGTAGTTAGATCACAGCTACAAATGTAACTGTGACTTCATTGCCAGGCCTGAGCAATGCTACGGATTCCCAGCCAAGGAGAAAAGCCAACCTACGGCTCTTCACAACCAAAGAGCAGAAAGCAGCCGGTTAGGTTACAGATGGAGGCAACGCCAGCTGCCGCGGGGTTGCCTGTGAAAAA